CACCGCCATAAGTTGGAGGGGGGAAGGAGGTGGAGGATGGGGAGGAGGAAGAAGAGGAGGGGGAGGAGGACCCCCTCCCCCCTCCAACTTATGGTGGCGGTGGTGGAAAACAAGCCCATCAACACACACACACACACCCGCTGGCGCGAGCGAGCTGCCTGGCGCCCGGACCCGACAGAGCGGGCTCGCGGCGTGCGCCTCACTTTTTGGCACGGCGGCGGTCCAGGCACCGGCGGCGGCGGGGCGCGCCGCTCGTCGCGGTCGCGCTCTGGAGGTCGGAGAAGAAAACACGCCACACACCTAAGCTTTTGGCGCTCCGCGCGTGTTTCTCGGCTCCGCGCTGGGGCTCCCTGGCGGCGCCTCCGGCGCCGCCCCTGGCGCGCTCCGCGTCGCCCAGATTGACTCCGCGTCTCTCCTCTGCTTCAGCACGTCGTCTCGATCGCTTGCTCCGGGGGTCCGCAGCCTGGGGCGGCCGAGGTGGCTGCGCACATCGCCGAGGCGTGTGGAGGATGAGCATCTCTGCCGCCATCGGGGCAGCGTCGATTTCCAGCAGCAGGCCGGCAGGGGATCGGAATCCTCCTGTCCAGTGCGACTGGAGGCTGCAGGGACGGTGAATGCCAGGGTTAGGTTAGGCCTGTCCCTATACAGGAGGAATATTCAAGAGTAATGAAAAATTACTCACTGCGTGGAGCTCCCAATATGCGCATCCTTGTTAAAGGGTAATATTGTATTTGGGATTTTAAAATGAGCGTCTAGCCATATGGGTCATATGTGCATCTCATATTGTAGGGGCACAGGCTTTGCGCCAGCAACACCTGGTCACTCCTCCTTGACCGCCGTACGCAACGGGGAGAGCCATTCGGGACAACGCAAAAGCAGAAAACAGGCAAACCGCTAGAGACATCCCCACAGAACGGCGACGAACGGAGCCGTGAAAGCATCCTTGGCGGCTCCCTTCAGGTAGCTGCAACCAGCGCCCTGCCTGAGACATCCTCACCATCTGCTCTCCAAGCGAAGGATGTTGAGACAGAAAACAGGCAAACCGCTTGAGACATCCCCACAGAACGGCCGCGAACGGGACCGTGTCATACCCCTCGGCGGCTCCCTTTAGGTAGCTGGAACCAGCGCCCCGCCTGAGACATCCTCACAATCTGCTCTCCAAGCGAAGGATGTTGAAACAGAAAACAGGCAAACCGCTTGAGACATCCCCACAAAACGGCCGCGAACGGGACTGTGCAATACCCCTCGGCGGCTCCCCTTAGGTAGCTGAAACCAGCGCCCCGCCTGAGACATCCTCACAGTCCGCTGTGTGTTGAGTAAGTCAGACAATGAGAAGGTCTGAGTATGAGTAAGTCTGGGTATGAGTGAGTCTCAGCATGAGTAAGTCTGAGTATGAGTAGGTCTGAGTATGAGTAGGTCTGATCATGAGTAAGTTCATATGATCAGGTCTGAGTATAAGCAAGTCTGTGTATGAGTAAGTCTGTGTATGAGTAAGTCTAGGTATGAGGAGGAGGAGGATCAGGGGAGGAGGAGGAGAAGAAGAGGAATGAGGAGTAGGAGGCGCCCACGTAATAACAATAACCCCATCATCGGATATGGGTAATAAGAAGAACCCCATCTCAGGAAATGGGGAAACACTCGGGACGATGTTTCGATTGTGTTTTGCATATTGTTAGAATGTGTTTTGGACTATGTTTAATTTTCCGCCCAACATCCCCCTGTAGGGGGGCAGGCCCGACCTAATGCCAGGGCCGCCCACCACAGCGTAGTCAGTAAAGCACCCTGACGACGCCCTGTGTATGCAGCGTTAGGCAGCATGAGTGCGCCGCCGATGTCCTCGAGTCACCCAGAACTCGCCAGCTCCTCAGGCGTGATGTTGATGCTGAGGCTGGTGCTGCTGATGTTGCTGCGAATGCTGATGCTGATGATGATGCCGATGATGATGATGATGATGATGATGATGATGATGATGATGATGATGATGATGATGATGATGATGTTGATGTTGATGTTGATGCTGATGATGCTAATGATGCTAGTGATGACGATGATGCTGATGCTGTTGATGATGCTGATGATGCTGATGATGATGATGCTGATGATGATTACGACGACGATGATGATGATGACGATGATGCTGATGATGCTGAGTTTGATGACGAGTATGATGCTGATGATGATAATGACAATGATGATTATGATGCTGATGCAGATGCTGGTCCTGATGATGCGGATGCTGATTCTGATGTTGTTAATGATGATGATGTTGATGATTATGCGCTGCTGCTGATGATGAGGACGATGATGATGATGCTGATGCTGATGATGGCGATGATGATCCTAATGTTGATGCTGATGATCGTATGACGATGATTGTGTGGATGCTGGTGATGCTGCTGCTGATGATGATGATGATGGTAATGATGCTGATGATGATGACGATGTTGATGATAATGATATTAATCATGATGATAAATAATCATGATGATGATGATCATGATGTTGATGATCATGATGATGATGGTGCTGATGATGATGACGATGACGATACTGATGATGCTGATGATGATGGTGATGCTGCTGATGCTGTTGATGCTGATGATGATGATGCGGTTGCTGCTGATGATGATGCTGGTGATGAAAATGATGATGTTGATGATGATGCTGCTGATGATGATGATGCTGATGGTGATGCTGATGCTGATGATGATGATGATGATGATGTTGATGTTGATGCTGATGCTGATCATGATGCTGATGACAGAGATGATAATGATGCTGATGATGATGCTGATGGTGGTCATGCTGACGATGATGACGACGACGATGATGATGACGATGATGCTGACGATGCTGAGTTTGATAATGATGATGATGTTGATTATGATATTGATGCAGATGCTGATGTAGATGTTGATGCTGATTATGATGATGATGATGCTGATGCTGTTACTGATGATGTTTATGGTGGTACTGCTGCTGATGATGACGATGCTGATGATGATGATGCTGCTGATGATGATGACGACGATGATGATGCCGATGCTGCTGATCGTGCTGCTGATGATGATGCTATGACGATGATGATGATGATGGTGTTGATGGTGCTGATGCTGATGATGATGATGATAGTCATGACGACGATGCTGACGCCGTTGTTGATAATAATGATGATGCTGATGATGCTGATGATCATGCTGATCATGATGTTGACGATTATGATGATGATGATGATGACGATGATGCTGATGATGATGGAGATGATGATGATGCTGATGCTGATGATGATGCTGGTGATGATGATGCAGACGGTGAAGATGATGGTGCTGTTGCTGCTGCTGCTGATGATGATGATGATGATGATGCTGGTGATGATGCTGCTCATGATGATGCAAATGATGATGACGATGATGTTGCTGCGCAGGATGATGTTGATGATGATGATGCTGATGATGATGATGATGCTGAGGATGGTGGTGATGATGATGCAGATTAGAATGATGCTGATGAGTCTGAGGACGATGATGATGCTCATGTTGACAATGTTAGGGATGATGATGATGATGACGACGGCAATGATGATGATGCTGATGATGGTGATGATGATGATGATAGTCATGACGATGATGATGATGATGATGATGCTGGTGATGATGACGACGATGATAATGCTGATACTGATGATGTTCATGATTGTGATGCTAATGATCATGACGGTGCTTGTTATGACGATGACGCTGGTGGTGATGTTGATGTTGATGATGATGTCGATGCTGAGTTTGCTGATGATGATGACGACGATGATGTTGATGATGATGATGATGCCGTTGATGATGATAATGCTGATGATGATGTTGATGCTGGTGCTATTGGTGATGCTTATGATGATGCTGATGCTGCTTATGATGCTAATGCTGGTGGTGGTGATGATGATGATGATGACGATGATGATGCTGATGATGCTGATGATGCTGGTGATGCTGGTGATGATGCTGATGCTGATGCTGATGATGACCGCAATGATGATGGTGATGACGATAAAGTTGATGATCTTGATGTTGATGATAATGCGAATGCTGATAATGGTGGTGATGATGCTGATGATGATGATGACGATACTGCTGATGATGCTGATGCTAACGATAATGTTGATGATAATGCAAATGCTGATGCTGATGATGCTGATGCTGATGCTGATGATGACGACGATGATGATGACGATGATGATGATGATGCTGATGCTGATGATGATGTTGATGCTGATGATGATGATGCTGCTAATGATGCTGCTGATCGATGATTGATGACGATGATCATGATGCTGATGCTGATGATGATGCTGAAGATGCTGATGTTGATGACGACAATGATGATGATGCGGATGATGCTGATGATGATGATGATGATGATGATGTCGAAGATGATGATGCTTATGCTGATGACGATGATGCTGATGTTGATGCTGATGCTAATGATGATGACTTTGATGCCGATGATGCTGATGATTGTGCTGTTGATGATGATGACGTCGATGACGATAATGATGATGATAATGACGACAAAGATGATGATGCTGATGACGATGATGTTGATGTTGAGGGGATTCTCGCATCTGATGACGATGATGCTGATGACAGGATTTCTCGCATCGGCGCTGGGGCCCCCTGGCGGCGCCTCCGGCGCCGCCCCTGGCGCGCTCCGCGCGCCAGCTAGGGGTGTCCAGCGCGGATCCGAGAAATCCGCGCAGACCTCCGAGCTATTATGGTTGTGTAATTTTTCGTGCCCCTCTTATCCGCCGGGTGGTTTCTCTGCTTGCCAACCTCGGCGGCAACGATAGGGGCGAATAGCCCAGGGGCCTGCTTCATACACATTCGCCCGGGAGCCTTGTCGAAGTTATAGATCATCGGTGCCCTTGGATACATGTATTGCTCTCCCCTGGGCTATTCGCCCCTACTCGTCGCCTCTGACAACCATGCCGTACTCTGCTGTCCACCACTCAGGGAGACTGGTCGTCCACGTTTCGGAGAAGCATCACGGCAGGCAGCCGCCCCTCTCTCCGCCGCGCAGCCCGCCCAGTCTGACACGGGTTTCAGTCGGGCCTGTCCATTTGCAGGAGGAATGCTCAAGAATCGTCAAAAGATAAGCAGGGGGCGATGTTTCGATTACTTTTGAATGTTTGTCGAGTGTTTTGTTGAGGGGTATTTTCCTGTTTCGTCCAAAATCCGCCTGCAGGGGGTCATGCCCGACCTAGCCGCAGGTGCACCTTTGTCGACAGAGTTCGCTCGTGGACGTGGCAAAGGACAGCGCCTCCTGGCGCTGGACACGAGACGCTTTTTGGGAGCTTCTCCTGTCCATGGGGCGCGAGGGCGCGAATATCACCGCGATTTGCCACCCCGCGCAGCGCGAAGCGCGAAGTAAGTTTAAGTCGGGGCTGTCCCTCTACGGGAGGGAAATTCAAAAATATCAAAAAATAGCCAAAAACTCGTAGGACATCCAGGACCACGCGGTCTATCCAGGCGTACAGCAGCAGCACCATTGGAAACGGTTGGCATCACAGCGGCCATGTCTTTTCTAATGAAAGTGCGTGCGCCTGCGTAACGTGTTGATGTATAGCAACCCGAACGGGAGCGCTTGCTTTGGAACAGAACAGAAATCTGAACAGTTGTTGGCTAGGTTTGGGTATCCTTTGAGCACACTTTAATTTTTCGTCCAAGATCTGCCTGTAGGGGGACATGCCCGACCCAAAAGTAAGTCGACCCACGTCCACGACACGGCAGCCCTGCCCGGGCCAGAGCAGCGGAGACACAGCGTCGAACGGGCGTCGCTGCAGAGGTCTGGCCGCGTCTGTCGAGTCGTCCGACGATCAAGAGAGAGAGAGAGAGAGAGAGAGGAAGGTCACCGCGGCCCTCACCTTCCTCCTACCTCTTGCGATGCAACCTCCGGCGCGTCGACACGTACACTCCTCAAGCTACCTCGCAAGATTTGTTGTTTGTCTCGTGCGCTTTGCATATCTCTTGCACAGCAACCATCAGAGTCTCGAGTTCGGGGTCTCACGCGCCTGGTCATTGTTATGCCCGAGTGCTTGTCCGCCGTGGCAGTCTTCTTGGATTTCAGACGCCTGCGGTCCATCACCTTCGCCCCCCGTCATTTGGCAATGCCTGTGCGGTGAAATGTCGAGCGAAGGCGCTTGGGATAACAATTAGGGGACCACTGTGGAATGACTCTCTGCGGTCATCGTTCAGAAGCTGGACGAGGGCTGGGAAATCCGTGGCTGCTAAAACAGTCTTCCCGGAAGAAGAAAACAAATTCCCTGAATAAAATTCAGCGCGCTAAATGGTAACCGGGCTGCTTTCTTGGGATACTGCCGCCTTCGGATGCTCTCGGGAGCCCCTCTAGACCTTATCGGGGGGTTCTCTTGGCCGTCCTTGGGAGCGCCGCCCCTGAGATTTTGGCTTGTCGGAAAAAAACAAGGTCGCCATGTTGGCCCTGGAAGCGAAAAACTGAACCCTTGACAGTGACCGGCCCAATTTTGGGTGGCCCGCCCGCGTCTGGGCCGCCAGAGATCGCGCGCGCGCACGTGAGTTCTCCATTGTCCACAAGGGAGAAGCCGCCATGTTGGCCTGGAAACGAAAGTGAAACCTTAACGGCGATCTCCCAGATTTGGGGCGACCCGCCCGCGCGTGGATCACCCGATCGCGCGCGCGCGGAGGCGCCCGTGGCGCGATTTGCATTTGCAACAATGCAAAAGTGACCATTTTGGCTAAGAAACCAGAGGGAAGGAAACCTTAACGGTGACCAATCATCTGACACGCCCGCGCTCGTGTCGCCCGATCGCACGGGCGCGCGAGCGGACGCGCGCGCAGGTGAATTCTGAAGGGGAAGTCGCCATGTTGGCTTGGAACCGAAAGTGAACACAACGGTAACCAGCTTGAGTTTGGGCGACCCGCCGCCGCGCGGGCCACCCGATCGCGCGCGCGCGGACGCGCGCGTAGGGGAAGCTTGTTTTGTCCACAGTAGAAGAGTCGTCATGGTGACCAACCAAAGTTTGGGTGACCCGCCCTCGCGTGGATCGCCCAATCGCGCGCGCGCGCGGACGTGCGCGCGGCGAGTTTTGCATTTTCCGCAATGAAAAAGGCGCGAGGGCGGCATTGGAACTGAAATGCAACCTGAACGGTGACCAACCACGCTTGGGGTGACCCGCCGCCGCGCGGGCCACCCGATCGCGCCCGCGCGCGGACGCGCGCGCGCAAGGGAGTTCTCTATTGCCGAACACAGAAATATCGCCATGCGGGCCGTGGAGTTCTGCATTGTCGGCCATGGAAAAGTCGCCACGGTGACCAAGCCCATTTCGGGTGACCTGCCCGCGCGCGCGGACCACCCGATCGCGCGCGCGCGGACGCGCGCGCAAGGGAATTCCCTACTACCGAACACAGAAAAGCCGCCATGGTGGCCTGGGAATTCTGCATTGTTCAGCAGTGGAAGAGTCGCCATGTTGGTTTTGAAACCAAAGTGAACCGCTAACGGTGACCAGCCAGACTTC